GAAATATATATATAATAATGGAATATTGTTGTGGTGGTGATCTGTCAAAATATATACAGAGGTATGGAAGAGTACCCGAGAAACAGGTGACTATATCTATACTACACAAGCTGTCAAAATACTTAGCATTCTCTATGTGTTCTTCAATACTATGTTCTACACTTCCAAATAAGATATGACCTAAAAGTCTATGTTGCCAGGTCATAAAATTAAAAAAAAATATATGTTCTATATGTATGACAAATTTCAGCGAGATCAATGCAGCCGTACTGGAGATATCTTCTAACATACATCTACTAAACATTCGCATTTATATTAGTAAGATGTAAACTGATATATAAACACGGCTAAATGGGCCCTTCATCAGGATGAGTGGTACTGAAGGGCCCTCGTTGGGCTCGAAACTAGTCGGTGCCAACGGACGAATATACGTGAGTGTTTAGCCGTGTTCAGTATAATGTAAATCAGTTTAGTATAATGTCTCACGAAAGTTTGAATAATTTATTATATAATTTATTGAGTATTATACATACATGGAGTGGCTATGAGCTGTAGTTTTTTGTGCCTATTTCATTTTCGCCATTATGGAGTTGAAAGAAATAAAAATTGAAAATAACGTTATCTAGTTTAAAATTTATTGTCCAGGTTCTGTATTTTCTCCAGCAACTTGCCTCAGCTTTAAAGTTCCTGAGAGAGAAAGGTAAATAATTATTAGAATTTTACAGATGCTTGATAACTGTGCGAAAGAGACAAGAATATACTTGATTGAATAATATTGTTTCTTTCACACAAGTTTTCACAGGCCTTTTCAGGCCAAAGTCAGGGCCGTATTTAGTATTTCTGGCGCCCTTGGCGACCTTTTTGCGGCGCCTCCCTTTTTTTGGTGACGGTGGGATATCATCCAAAAATACCCTATTTCTTTGGATCATCTGCATCCAACGATGGCGCCTGGGCGCCCCCTTACTGAATGAAGTGGTGTTATTTCAGGTGTAGTTCACATGGACTTGAAACCACACAACTTATTACTACATAAAGGTTCAGATGGGAAGTACATACTCAAGGTGGCAGATTTTGGGTGAGTAGAGACACTATATACTATAGTTGGCCCGTCTCTCAGACCAGTACGCTTGTTGTCGATGTGCCAACTCGAGATTGAATAACATCTAAAATTAGTTGCGCCTACCGACAGTTTGTCAATTCTGTTTATTTTCCAGTTTTTTTTCTTTTACACTATAAACAAAAACTCACCTTATAACATAGCACACACAATACAGATTCGCTCAACACATGACGGAGGAGCAGTTACGCTGCCTGCGCGGCTCTCCGCTCTACATGGCGCCGGAGATGCTGCGCGGCAGATACGACGCCAGAGTTGACCTGTGGAGTGTGGGTGAGATGTTACTGCGGTACAGATTCCTTCAGCACATAATGAAGGAGCAGTTTAAGATAAAATTGGCTTATAAAATCGTTAACGTAGGGCTTGAATCTATTCCAGAAAGGTTGGACTGTCCCCAAACATTGTTTTTTGATTAATCTTCGAGGTACGAGGGCAATTACAATATATAAGAGTAACATTTTAAACAAAGTATCTTTTTACAATGATTGTGTGTATAAAAATTTCTGTATTATTTCCTAATATAATTTACATCGATTAAATAGCAGAGTTCTCGTGATAACAAACCAATATACCGAAATAAATATCTCCATTCTTATAAGTACAGAGCTAAACATGCTGCTGCTTAGTGCTGAAGTTGCTGAGTGCTGAATTAACATAAATGTATATATACAGGTGTGATAATGTACGAATGTTTGTTCGGGCGCGCGCCATACTCCTCCGCCACTTTCAAGGAGTTAGTCGACAAAATACAAAGGCAAGCTCCTATAGAGGTAACGTTAATAATTCAACAATTATAACTTAAAATTAACCAAATAATCTCGCTGAAATGATTCCATGACACTCAGAGAAAGAATACGAATCGAATGACACCTCAGTCGCCAAAATCTGTTCAGATTACTCCATAGATTACAATAGAATGGCTGAGACCTTCAAACATATAAAAACATTAACTAAGTAATTGTGGTCTCCAAACTCCTGGGTGCAGATTCCCCCCCGGTCGTCCATCAGCCCCGGCTGCCAGGACCTGCTGACCCGACTGTTGCAGCACGATCCTGACAAGAGGATCAGCTACGAGGAGTTCTTCGCTCATGAATACCTGGATCTTGAACATATGCCTTCCAAGGAGAATTATGAAAAGGTAAGAGAATGTTAGGAAAAAGTCAGTAAGAAACAAATCGGTTCTAAAACACTTTCTCACGTGACTACAAAACTTATTGTAAACAGGGCAGGTTTTAGCATCACCGGCGCCCTGGGCGAGAATTTTGCGGCGCCTATTTTTATTTTGTGGTCGGGGATAATCTTCTAAAGGTATCTTAGGAGGCGCCCGCGGCGCCCCCTTATCCCCGGCGCTCTAGGCGATCGCCCGAACGTAACGCCGCTACTGATATTTGTTTCTTTAACTTATATTACGTCATATCGGCCGTCATGTATGTAATTTAATTAGGTACTTCATATAGGTGTTCTATCGAAACGAAGCATACGTCAGAAACTTCGAAATTCGTCCTAAAATAATCTAGATTCGACGTACATTTCCAGGCAGTAGGTTTAATAAAGCGCGCCATAGAGCTGGACTCTGCGGGCGAGCTGGCGGGCGCGCTGACCGCATACAGCGACAGTCTGCGCTACCTCGTGCCCGCCGTCGCCGCCGAGAGCGACGCGCTCCGCCGCAGCGCCCTCGCCGCCAAGCTCACCAGGTCAGGCACACTAGACAGGTGACACGTGACAGGTTGTACAGGGTGACACGTGACAAGTTGTACATTGTGACAGGTTGACACGTGACAAGTTGTACATTGTGACAGGTTGACATGTGACAGGTTGTACATGGTGACATGCGACTCATTTATCCCACATAATTATACTACTTTGCTACATTGTAATTTTAATATTTTAGTATTTAATTATTAATTGTAGATACATGGAGAGAGCTGAAGAAATCAAGAGATATCTTAAAGGAGGAAGCAATCCTCAAGTTCAGAGAACACCGCAACAGAGATATGTACAGGGTAAGTACAGTTAGTGAACAATTAACGATTCTGAGTACCGGGTAGTGAGTTAGTTACCATGGTAACATTTCCAGGTCGAGTAGAGGTCGCGCAAACTATACAAGATACAACCAGTTGTGTTCAAGAAGTTATAAAAGAACAAGATCAAGAATCAGAACAGACAGAAGGACAGAACAAAAATGAGGTATTTTATATAATGACTAGTTGTCGTACGCGACTCCGTCCGCGCTGAATTAAGAAACATAATTAGTACCCTATGCATTCTTTTAGACTATGTTCTATATGTATGACAAATTTCATTTCATCCATGTAGTTAAAATACATTTTTATTTACGTTTGCAACTTTGTTATGAATGTTGTTGGTCGAAAGCAGACGTGTCCTGAGAGGGCGAAGCGCCCCGGAGCCCTGGCGCGGCTGCTGCGGCGCTCGCAGGTGCCGCACTTACTGCGAGGAGATGCTACTGTGGTGAGTCACTTGCAGGATACAACTTGAAACCTTTACACCAGCATCCACTGTAGATGCACTCGAATCCAGATGAGCGAGAATTCAAAGGATACTGATATTTTTCTTGTTTATATAACTATCTCTCTAACTTTAGGTTTCTGACATCCAAATATCTTTATAAAACATATCGTCATCCCTGTCAATAATTTTAACTAAGATTTTAGACTCGAAAACCAACCGTAACCCGAGTTTTTCGCTTATGAAGGTCGTCCGTCAAGACCAATGACTCTCACTTATAAAAGTTTTTCCTTTATCTCTATGAAAAAAATATATTTTATGTATTGTTTGTTATTCATAATTTTAATAATATAAACAGACAGACGAACAAACTGATAAACCGCAGAAAAATGAAGATGGAAATGACGGCTGCAAGATTACTTGAAGAATTCAATATCTGCTAAAAGTGCCTTCTATTTTAATAAAGTTATTAGTTTTAGCTTTTTTATTTATATTTAAGCTGACCAAAGATATACTTTTAACACAATACATTAAAAAAATCGACTATAATTCGTAATTAAATTCTTAATAAAATAGTATCCGCGTTTCGTCTGATGAGTGTGCGTGTCGGAGACCTAATTTAGTCCTCTTTCTCTTCCCACACTTTTTCTTATAAGGAAAGAATGGGAAGTGGAAGTGGACTTTCCGGATGAGAGTATGCATGGAAAGGGAATATATTTTCTTTCTGTGCATCCTCTCCTCCGTCGATTAAAGTTAGGCAACGCATATGCAATTGCGTATGTCTATGGGCAACGGTCACTTCGCTATTTCAGTGATTTCATGTGGCCGCTCGCTCGTTTGCCACCTTATGATATAAAAAAATATTTTCCGTGTAATTTAATTAAAAAGATATATAAAATCGCTGCACGCATTATATAGATTGTTGACCTTGAAACAACTACGCTGAATCAAAGTCGAAAAGATTTGACCTTGAACAATGTGTGTAAATTGTTAGAAAAGAACAGATTTTAACAAAATAATTAATTTTGTATTGTAATTGTTTAAAGAAATCGGACATTCTGATTTGTTATTTTATTTTAAAAAATACTTTTACTGATTATTTTCTTTGATTTGATATCTGTATGATGAAAATAGCGCGGGTTTAGTTTATGAGTTTGTGAATTATAAATTACTATTTTTATGTTTGTAAGATGTTAAAATTTTTATTTCTATGTTTTAAAAGTTTATTCTTGCCTTAAGTCGTATTTAGTTGTATATACAGAGTCGGATTTAGCATTTCTGGCGCCCTTTTTTTGGCATAAAATTTCACCAAGGCAGTCGTTTCAACTCGCCATTTGGACGCCATCTTGAATTCTATTACGCAACTATATTAATTACAATTCGAATAAATAAATTTTGTTGTATTTTGTGTTGTGATTTAAAAGAATTGTTTATTTAACTTTTTCTGTTTGTTTGTGTCAAAAATATTAAAAAAAAAAATAATTTAATTTATCTCCGTATTTCATATGAAATTTATAAAAACAAGTAACGTATTTGTACTAAAAGAAATTCGTGTTTTATATTATTTTAAACTAATAACAAATAGTACATTCCAACTGACCTTTTATAAAAAGAATGTTTTTTTAAGAAAATATTGGAAAGTGTTTTCTTATAGCAAAGTAATGAAACAATGCAAGCGAATAAATGTCGCAATTATTATTTGATTCGTATTTTATGCCTTAAGATTTTTACGAATTTACGATAAAAGGAATGATTTTGTTATTAAGAGTGAGTGAGATAGATAGATAGGCAGTAATTTCCCGCTCTTTTTACTGTCACTTCACAAATTTTGGAAGAATTATTTTTTTTGTTTTTGCATAATAAACATTTTTATCTCATTTAATAAATTTGTTTTATTTATATCATGAGAAAAATATGCCGTTGGTAGATAATATGAACATTTTTGCAATTGAACTTTTAGTTACAAAAACTACGGATTTTTCACTTATTTCTATAGATAAATGCTGGACAGGTCTCTGCCTTAGAATTACAGCTTTCCAATCTTTCAAATTTAAAAGTAACAGTTGAAGTTATATCTATATCAATTATTAGTTCGAGTTTCCAACAATGCCACCAATGGCTACCGTCAGCGCCAAAATGGCGGAGATCAAGCAGGCACAAAATACCACGGCAATAGCCTGTTTAGTGCAACATATATGTCAGAGTGATTTCTATATTTCTAGAATTTTATCATCTGTTTCTATTTATTTATAAACAAATCAGTTTATGACAAATGATGATTATTTGGATATAAATAAAATCTGTTGTAATTTATTAATTATTTTACGAAAACAAACAAGAAAAATTATTGCAAAATGTTACGCCAAGTTTAAATATATTTGTAAGTATGTATATTATTATTATGGACACAAAGAAGTGGAGGTTTCTCTTTTCCACCGTTTTCATCACACACTCAATCTCTCTCTAGTCTATCCATTAGTTTCTTTTAAGAAGTATAAAATAGTTATGTTACATTTGAATGAAATATAAAATGGGTCGATATATAATGATGAATGTATTCCTTAAATTAATTATGTATTTTTTATATGTTTGCAGAATAATTTTGTCCATAAGAAATTCATGTTTGATAAAAATGGATCAGTCCAGACAACCAGCACAAGAACAGGGTACTATAAAGGTACAGTTTTTTAAGTATTTTTTTTCTTCATTTAATTTACTGCATATTTTTCAAAGTTATCTTTGGTTTGGTTTACGAACGAAATTAATATTCAATCCTAGAGATTGATCGTAAGATATTTTTGGTTCGGTTTAATTTGGACCAAATGTTAAAAAAATATTTTAAAAATAATACCGCGGCTAAAAAAAAATATTCGATATCGCATTTTATTAGGACAAGTTTCGTTTTATATAGCTTTTTATTTGTCGAATCTTTTGGAATCACAATTTTAGAAAAAAATACTATATTAAGCGTTTACGAATGATTTTTGTCTAGGGGTTTTTGAATATCACAGTCGGAAAAAACAAAACATAATAGTCTATGCTATTTATTAAGATAGAGTGTTCCTTGTCTATGTCCAGGGTGTGGAGAGTCGTGTGACATACGTGCTCAGGCACTGCGCTAGTGATGACGTCAGACGTAAGGCTGTTTTCTTCCAGCGCGCGCTTCTTGTCGCTGTCTATTTGATAGTGTTGTTGTTAATCGCTATATTTGTTGTTGAATTGTTGGATTACATTGATTGAGATGATATGGAATTTTATTTCGTAGTTCTTGAGCGATAAAAGTTCCATAAATTCATTTTATAAACTGCAATTAGTTTTGGCGCGGTTTGATTTGACAACGGAATCATTGTTTGTTTTGCCATCCAACACTAGATGGCGCTGCTTCATGTCTTGTTCCTTCAGATAGTTGTTTGTGTTTAGGCGATGTTTGTGGTTGCAGGAGGACGCGGAGAGGGAGCGCGGGGAGATGACGTCACCGCGCGGCTTGCGCGAGGGAATGCGGAGGGAGAGGTGCATGTGTACAGGATTTGATTGTATACAGGTAATATGACTCCTAGAATGTGACTGAAAAGATGTATTATGTATCACTGACCTTTATAAATGGACTAGCTTTAAGACGTGATTTTTGTGCCTAGTTGAATTTCGCCATTTTGGCGCTAATGCTATGGATTAGAACTAATAATAAAGATAGAATTAACTGTCACGTAACATGAAGGCGCGTTTAAATCGGAACAAAGCAAAAGCTGACATTTACAAGTAATCGCCTATCCGTTTATAGGGATGAGAAAAATCATTACAGAATACTAATAAGCAAACAACTATATATTTTTAAGCACAATTTTGTAAAATTACATAACCGAAGTTATACCATTCGGTTCAAATTGAACCGATCTAAATATCTGATAGTTATTGAATGTCACCCATAAATTAAAATTTGTTGTTTTGGTAAATAACAAAGTTCTGTTGTAGGCTGTGCAGGCAATGCAAGGGGCGACTTACCACCCACCGTTTAGAATCCGTGGTCCGCTGCATGGCGCAGACGATTGTCTCGGCAGATATTACTGGTGCATCATTATGACCATCTCTTGTATCTTCTGTGTTCTAGTCTTTGTTATATTTATTGTGGTTATTGTTAAATATACTGATTGATGAATAAATATTTCGTTTTAATTTACTTTGTGGAATTAAGAATTGTAAATGCATCTTTCAGGCGATTTGCATATACTGTTGTCTTACTAATATTATAAATGCGAATGTTTAGATGCATGGATCTCGATAAATTTTAGCTATATATTAATAAATGTCGCCCGCGCAATATAAAAAAAAAATAGTAGTCTACGTGTTCTTTCAGACTATGTTCTACATCTATGCCAAATTTCTGCAAGATCCATGCAGCTGTTCTGAAGATATCCTCTAACAAACACACATCTATCTAAACTTTGGCATTTATAATATTAGTAAGATAATCGGACAACACTGAGCTCTAAGGAATTTCTAAATTATGAAAATGGCAACATTAAGGTGTACAGCTCTCATTGGTCAAAATATGACGCTGTCAAGATGACATGGAAGTTCACATATCTTGGGATTGCCACAAAAATCTTTGTGGAACTATTTTTATATTTCTAAAGGTTTCATAAAATAAAACAAATTTAAAATTCATATATTTATTTAAGTCTTAACTAACAGGTCCACTTTCCATTACAAGTTCAAACAAACAGTTGTAGATATTTTCATAATATAATTGAGAAATATTTGATTATTTGTACATTTTTAACATACCGAAAGTAGAGATTGAGATTTCTAAAATTACAAACGTCCGTTTACAATCTCACTAGGCATATTATAAACTGCAAGCAAATTAAATTTTTTTAGACAATTTGGTGAATATTCAACACATATAAAAGCTATTTCTCGACTGTTAACAAACTGACAAATATGTATACGAACTTATATTTACCAAATCGGTTAGGAAATCGATGAAATCGCGAATTACGCGACTTTAAAATCTGTTTACAATCTACCGCGTACGATTACAAACTGATATTCCAATTGGGCCTGTTATATTAAGACAAATATTCTATGCGTCATATAATTTTGACATCAATAATTTTTTTTAAACACGTTTTGATGTGAGCGAGACAGATATAGAGGACACCTATATGTGTGAAAGAGATGGATGTTTTCAACCAAAGTTTGAATTATTCACGAACATAATTCTGTTTGAAGACATGTTTTTGTATATGTTTGGTGAATGAAAACTTAAGCTAATATTACCTTTTAGATGATTTTGATGGACCAAGACACAAACTTATACGTTATCTTTATTAGTTATCATATCCAAAGCAAGTTTTACAAGTCACAGTTGTAATTTTACAAACCAAAGTTGTAATTTTACATTTCAGATTTAGTTTGAAAATGTAAAAAATCTTTTTACATTTAACACATTTTGAATTACATTAAATTCAATTAAAACACATCAATAAATTGACTACGCACTAATGACAAATATCAGTTTCCATTTCTAAATAGAAAACTATAATATAATGAAAACCGTTTAATACAACATATCTGTTACAACGACTTAATGTCTACGATATCGCTATAACGGTAATTTTTCTTTTTTTTTTCAATAATTCTACAATAAAACATCAAATAATTTAAATATATTTATTTTGTATGTATTTATTCGTCATCCAAATCAAAACATCCGTGCATTTGAAGCATCCAAGTTCTTGTTGACGTGTGATAGTCGTCTTGTACATTCTCGTCATATCTGTTGTCGAACATTGATGGACTATCATATCTAGATGTTGGATGGACCATTGATGGATTTTGGTCAAATCTGTTATGGATTGTTGGTGGATTATGGTCATATCTCGGTATTTCGTCGACCGTTTGTGGATTGTGGTCAAAACTAGACATATCCCGGCTCATTTGTGGACTATGATCAAATCTAGGCATGTCTCGGAACGTTGTTGGATAGTGGTCAAATCTTGGCATTTCGGGAAAAAATTGTGGATTGTCTTCAAATCTAGACATATGGGGGACTATTTGTGGATTATGGTCAAATCTGTGATGGACCGTTGTTGGATTGTGGTCAAATCTGTGATGGACCGTTGTTGGATTGTGGTCAAATCTGTGATGGACCGTTGTTGGATTGTGGTCAAATCTGTGATGGACCGTTGTTGGATTGTGGTCAAATCTGTAATGGACCATTTGTGGACTGTGATCAAATCTAGGCATGTGGGGGACCATTGATTGATTTCGGTCAAATCTGTTGTAAAACATTGGTGGATCATGATAAAATCTGTTATGGACCATTGATGAATTGTAGTCAAATCTATTACGGACCATTGGTAGATTATGATTAAATCTATGGTGGACCATTGGTGGATTGTTTGGTGAATTATGGTTAAATCTCGGTATTTGATGGAGCATGGGTGGATTGTGGTCAAATCTGTGATGGACCATTGGTAGATTGTGGTCAAATCTGTGATGGACCATTGGTAGATTGTGGTCAAATCTGTGATGGACCATTGGTAGATTGTGGTCAAATCTGTGATGGACCATTGGTATGTTGAGGTCTAATCTCGGTATTTGATGGACAATTGGTGGATTGTGTTCAAATGCAGGCATTTGGTAACCGATTTGTGGACTGTGGTATCTTGTTGGATTGTAATATCTCGGCAAATTGTAAATATTCAGTGGACTGTAACCAAATCTTTGTGTTTCATGTACAATACGAGGACTGCTGTGACTTCTTGACACATTGGTATGATCAATATTTCTTGTATTTTCATGTGAATGTTCATACTTTCTTGTATTGACTTTGTGTGTGTGATGTTGATTACTTGTTTGGTAAGCTTTTGGCAGTTTGTGGTGACCTGATGAGTATTCTGTTCTGTGTCAGGTGTGCGATGTTTTGTGGTGAGAATGGTGTCAGTAGTCATAGTGGTCGCCGTTGGCATCCTCGGGATTGTATTTATCCTCTTCCTCTGTTGGCTCCTGCTTGATGTGGACGTCGGGGGGAGGCAGACGGAACTGTGGGTAGTCTATAATATGGATAGTTAGTAAATTTAAGATATTTTTATGAAAAAGGTACATATTTTTACATTACTAAAATAATGAGAGAAGCTTTGGTGACTCAGGGATTAAGCAGTTGACTTGTAATCAGCAGGTCCAGGGTTCTAATTCAATGTACATTTATCGTATGTTGTTACGGTGAAGGAAAACATCGTGATGCTGCACATATCTGAGAAAGTCAAATGTGTGAAGTCTTGCACTGGACCAGCATTCACTATCACATAGTCTCACTTAGGGTAGACTCCGAGCCCCTCAGTGGGGTCGTATAGTGAGCTGATGATGATTGATGTTCCTATACATCACAAATATTTCAAATCCTTCAAATTTTTATCCAACTAACAAAGAAGTTTGTATGTATGTAAATTACTTTGTAACAAGCCGATAACCTAAACTATTGAACAGATTTCGACAAGTGAGGTGTTATTCGATTCGTCTTCTTTCCTAGAGTGTGTCATGTGGTTGTATGCATACCGTCAGCTGGCTCCTCCTTGACCTTGACATCCTCAGCCTTGACCTTGTGGTCTCTGCGGCGGGCGCGCTTGCGTTCCCGAGAGCGCGACCTCTCCGACCTCTCGGACCTCTCTCTGCGCTCGCGGCGACGCTCAGAGCGAGAGCGAGACCGACGACGACGTCTGCAATATGACAGACAGAGATACAACTATACTGTGACGTCACTATCCTTACTAATATTATAAATGCGAAAGTGACTCTGTCTGTATGTCCGTCTTTGAAGCAAAAACTACTGAACCAACTTAAATGATATTTGGTACACAGATAGTCTAGAGCCTGAGAAATCACATCGTATACTTTTTTAAAGTGAAAAAAGGGTTGTAAGAAGTTGAAAAGGGGGTTGGAAATTTGTATGGAAGTATCGTCATTTCTTCAGTTAGTAGCTTGAAAATTATTTTGTAGGCTGTTAATGTTACTAAATATTATAAAAGCGAATGTAAATGGATGTTTGTTTTAAGATATCTCCAGAATGACTTAACAGATCTTGATAAAATTTGACATACATATAGAACATAGTGTGGAAAAAGACATATTTAAATGCAGACGTAGTGTACATACTTGTCGGGCTCCTCTTCCCTGGGTCGTTCTCGTTCCCTGTCGCGCTCGCGCTCACGTCGCCGCGGCCGAGATGTGGAACGTCGGCGAGATCGCGACCTCGTGCGACGTCGCACTCCTGACATACATACATACCTTCACAATATCTATTACAATGCCTTTTAGTAATTCTATTGTGTTAATATAAAATATTCTTTATTTTTGTTTGTTTCAGAAACCACAGTATAGTTTTATTGAGGGTAAATAATTTTGGATAGTTAAAGAGATGACATTTATTTTAAATAAAACATTTTAAAATTCGATTGATAAGTGTCTACTTGAGTATGAATTCTAATCCTATCCTATCTTCAATAGATTTTTTTCCTATGTCTAATAAAGTCAATCTAACACATTACATTGATGTTATTTTTTCAGTGTTTGTATGTAGGTGTGTATGTATGTATATATATATCTCACGTTCTCTGTCCCTGTCTGGCCTGTCCGGCCTGTCGGTCCTGTGCGCGCGCTCCTCTCCGTCGCGCTGCTCGAGGCGGTATCTCTCGCGCTCGCGCTCGTTGTCCTCGCGGCCCGAGTGCTTGATGTTCACGTCCGCGCCTCCGCGCCGCGTCCCGCCCAGACCTCCGCCTGCACCCCCGCCCCGACCCGACACGTCACTTCACATCACCTCATCTCCCCTCATCTCACACACCCTCACACATACAGAACACCTGCATACATCTTCATGAAATTTGCCATACATATAGAACACATATTCAATAATTCACTTCTGTATAAAAATAACCATTTGGTACCGGATTCAGTAATTGCTGACAAATACATTTTAAAATTACTATTAACAATTTATTATGAAAATACAAGTAAAAATGTTTTTATTCGGACTACGCAGACATTGTTATTTTTTGACTATATAGTACTATAAATGTGAAAATTTAGATGTATGTTTGTTGGAAGATATTTCCAGAACAGCGACATGGATCTCACTGAAATTTAGCATAAATGTAAAACATAGTCTGAAAGAACTCATATGCTACTAAATAAGTTATTTTTTTAATTCCTCACAAACAAAATAGCTAATAAAAGCTACTTACCCAATCGTCTCGGCAGCCATCCTTTGACAGTGCGCGCGCGCTCTACATCGACCAGCACACGCTTGCCATCGATCTTCTTACCATCCGCGTGCTTGTAGGCGGCTGTAACGCGCGCAACACGCGGTCATTACGTGCACTAACCGCGTGCACCGCGTGCGGGGCCACGGCATCGCAAACATCCTAACACACCTCACGGAAACAGTCACATCTCATCTCAGATGTAATTGTTTACGTCAGATGCTTCGTATGACGTGTCATGTAAACTAATATGTATTGTAAAATTATCTTGTGTGAATAATACGATAGTTAATTTCGATTTAAAAATAAAAATTCAACTGTCATTTTTCTTTGACTATGAATAATTTTTAAAATAAATAAACCCGAACTTATAATTACAGATAAAATAAAATTTAATTGATGTCCAAAAAAAAATCATATTTTACAAGTCATATTAAAAATTGTAAACTTTAATATGATCTGTAAAATTTAATCTTTAAGATAATATGAAAACGAATACACTGTATATTGTTTCTTTAGTATTGTTTTGTGTAAAATATATAAATGCACAAACATAAAGTAGCAGTAAATATAAACCTGTCGTATGCCGTCCACCCCGCACGATACATTCACTATACATTTACATGAATTTGTAAACTTTACCATTATATTGTAAATTATAATATGTATTGTAAATAATCCATGTAAATAAAAAAATGTATAATCAAATTTACATTTATATAAAATTGTTTACACATTTTTAAATCTAAGTTTTACAACATATACATTTTTAATATAATATTCATTGAAGATATAATTCAACAATGATAATACGTTGACGTATATATTTTAGTGATTACTCACATAAAATATATATAAATATGTAACTTTATCAACATACCTACATGCATACCTACCGACCGAGCCGAGAGACGTCACTTTTATTTGTCAAATATAAATTTAAATATAAATACCTACCGTTTTGTCTACTTACTTTACCCAAAAACAAATCCAAAGTTACCGGCACATATTTTTTTTACCTCAATTTACAAGTTTACTTACATTCACTGATCTTTTTTTTTAAATTTACATTTTATCCCAGCGTTACACGTCGTACCATTTACCTGGTGCGCTTACTTACTTTATCCTTAGCGCAAATAAAAAAAAAACCGATTTAAACTATACAAGGTGTTCGAAACTACGTTAATGTTTTTTTTTTGCAAATAAATCCGTTATATATTTTTTTAAAAACGTTGTATGTTGGCAGTCTTACCACATACAAACCTATTAAAGCGAGTTGCCGGTTAGCTCGTGAGTAGGGGATCTTAACGGCCTGCGGTCTGTGGTGTGAAAAATAGAAAAACCACTCGTTAATTCATACAGAATGCGCGGGGAGGTAACTCGGACAGGACGGATCTTACTGGAGGTATAACCTCTTTTAAACTATTATTACGAAAAAGGTGACAAATATAAAAAAAAACCTAATATCATGTGATCAAAACAGAATTCAATAATTATGTGTTTCTATAATTTAAATTATGTAAGGCATTAAAACAATTTGTGATAATTTATTTATAAACATTTTTAATACGAAATATAGCGTGACCAGAAATATAAAACACCGCGACATGTTACGAATTACACTCGAACATATAAAATCAAAGACGAATTAATATCTTCCTTATTCTTGAAGTCAAAGTAAAGTTCTATTGCCGATTTCTTTATTAACAAATTCGTTGCCATATCGATGTAATTTCCGTGTCCGTGATATCTTACTATAATATAATAATGCGAATGTCTTGATGGATGAATGGACGAACACATAGGTTACTAATTAATTCCGCGCGGAGAGGTAGTATGTTAAATTTTTTGAAAAATATATCCACGGAAGAAAAAATGTCAATAAGTAATTAACAATGGATGCATCAAAGAAATTGATTACATTTTTAAATTATATTATTTCGTTAGTATTATTGTATATATTGACATATATCTTATATCTTTAAATGAGCAATTCTTGTATAAATATAATTGGAATCTCGGAATCGGCTCCAAAGATTTTCATAAAATTTAGTACATAGGGGGTTTCGGGGGCGATAAATCGATCTAGCTAGGAATCATTTTTATATAATGTCATTTTATTCGTGTTTTATCGATAATCAATTTAAACATAAACTTAACTTTTTCTATCGGTAAGATCGAAAAATATTATTCATATTTCATCATTTTATTAGTAATTCGTGTTTAAAGATAATTTCCAATAAACACAATTAAAAAAAAATACCGTAGTAGTAGTAATATCAAGGGAGATTGTGTCAGCCACAAGATGATGCTATATTTCTGGTCAGGCTATACATATGAATTCAAAAATATTATACAGGGTGTCACAAAATGATACGTACATAGGAAGGGGTATGATAGGGGTGGTGGTGGGTGGCCCCAGAAGGTGTAAATTTTTTTACACCTTCTGGGGCAATTTTAATTTTCTTTAAAATCTTTGTACAACTATTGTTTTTTTTATTTCATATTGATAAAGGGCTATTGACGATAACATAATAGCTTTTTTTTAAAATACCAATATTTGTAGGTAATTGGTTACCTACAAATATTGCTACATTAAAAAAAACCCCAGGTGTAAAATTTTTAAGTTTTTAAAAAATGCCCTGTATTTTTTTAAATACCCAGAGGGGAATTTTTATTTAATTTTTCTGGTGACCCTTGTGACCACCCCTATCATCCCCCTTCCTGTGTACGTAACATTTTGGGACACCCTGTATATCAACTAAAATAAATATCATAGTTTCACAATTATATATATAAATTCTTAATATTGACCACAATACATTTAACGCTAACATTTAGATGAATATTATACATATAGTTAATATATTCCTTTCAAAAATGTTACTACAATATTCTAGATGTCATTACACGATAACAATTAGCCAATTCTTATGAATAACTGTAACATGTTGAATAATACATAACAAAGAAATTCATTTGATCCTTTGTATTATTGAAATTAATGTAAAAGAATCAGACTTCATAGGGATGGTTATAAATGTAGGAAAAGTCGTATGAAAGAGTATACATGTAAGAAAGGAATGCATTCATATATTTATAAAGAAGTATAGGGCTCCGTAAGAAAAGGGCAGGATTCTGATTTAAATTTTAAACTTTAAATTACAGTTAATTCCAAATAAATTCCATAAAATATTTATGAAATCGTGAAATGGCTACAAAGTTATGGTCAATATTTATAAGTTGATGTTTTCTTACACAAATTCAATTCTTTTTTTTATTTATTTTACATTCAATATTGTATTAAAAAGAACTGAAATTGTATAATTTAGGAGAGAAGTGATCGTTAAGTTAACAAAAAATAAATTTACAATTTAATCCGAAATGTAAAATCTTCTATTTTAAGAAAATATGCACAAATTTGACCATTTCATAATTGAAAATATATTATTACTATAAAATAATTTTTAACTTAGTTTTTTTTTAACTTAGTTTTTGCTTTTCTTCAAAAAAGAAATCTTGCCACAATAAGGGTTTAATATATGTATTTTAATTTGTACATACATTTGGATGCTTTTGTATTAGCTTCAATCATTCAAAATGTCTAGAATTTAATTGACATCTGTTTACATGAAGTAGGTTAAATATATTAAGTAAAATATAAAAAAAAACTTAGGAAAAATATCTAGAATTACCATGATTATATAAAATTTCAATTACATAACTCAAAACTTTAAAAACATAACAGATGTAAGCATTACGTAATGTAAAATACAAATTTTACAGTTCAGATGACATAAGACTTTTACATCTCAGATGCAAGCTATATGTGATATAATCTGAAGTGTAAAACACAAGTTTTACACTTGAGATGAAACAGCGATCGCGTCTCTCCATGTGATTGTGTTGTGTATGTAAATGTATGAACTCACAGTGCATGTCTCTCTCGTGCTCGTACTCAATGAAGGCGTAGCCACGAGGCTTGCCATTCTCTTTGCTGTATACCATACTAATCTGGAATGGAAATTGAATATTATTTTTATCTTAATCATATTATAAATTCAAATGTTTGGATGTTTCTTAGAAATTATCTCCAGAACCTCTGCATGGATCCCACTGAAATTTGGTACAGATATAGGTTGTTGAAGTGGGGAGACCAAAGCTCAGATGGATAGACGGCGTAAAATAAGACACAAAAAAAGTTGGCATAGCAAATTAAAAGTCTGTGGCCAGAGATACACCAAGGTGGAATAAGATGCTGGACCAAGCCAAGGTCAACAAAGTACTGTAGTGGAGAATATAGACTGAAAGAATACATAGTGTAATCATTATTATTTTTAATTTCCCACAAACAGACACGGCCGATAACTAGTAATCAGTATAGCATGGATGGCTCAATGGTTATTGAGTGTCATATGTATAAAGTTAACAGACCCACAAGACTGTTGGCAACTATAGCCTGGTCACCCACAGCTTATGGTTCAAGTTCTTTGTTAATTATATATATGACCTGACACAATGTATTGAATGTGAAACATTTCTCTAACAATGATTGTCAGTAGCAAGTTTCACTTTAAATGAATGTGAAAAATTACAATAGTTATTTCATAGTGATCATCATCATCAGAGCTTGGTTTGTGTTAACTTTAACTTTATCCTTACCTTTTTAATTGGTCCATATCCTTCAAATTCCCTTCTTAGCTTAGACTCGGATGTGTCATAATTCTAGAAAAAACAGATTAAATATTTTGTTACATCATCTATGTTTATTTGTACTAATATTATAAAGAGGAAAGATTCAATAATTTCTAGACCAATATCATTCATTTGCCATTCATAACATAGACTAAAATTTATTTTTAACTTCACATGGACAATGTCTCTGGTAAAAGCTAGTAATCTCACTAATATAATACAAATATTTATATGGATGTATGGATGTTTGTTAGAAGGTATTTATGGAATGGCTTAACAGATCTTGATGAAATTTGTCACACATGTAGACATAGTCTGGAAGAACTCATGGCATAAATATTAAGCTTTTTTTTAAATTCTCATGGATGGAGTTGCTAATGAAAGCTATAATAAATAATTAAAAACAAGTTAGTTTAGTAGACCAAACATAAGGCAACTTACAATCCTGGCCACAAACAATGTCTTGAAGGGGTCTGTGGTAGATGCGGGGTTGGTCGCTGGGTCCCACAAAGCAATCTCCTGCTCTAGTCTGTATGCAGTCTGCTCCGCTCTCTCACGTCGACGTCTCTCCAAACGCTCCTCGCGTGTCTCTACGCGAGTGGGCGGTGGTGTCTGCGTTGGATTCTGCAGGTACCCGTTTTTTATTTTAATATGGTTAAAAATATAAAGAAAATGTATTTTTATAAAACCCTACATAACATAGTGATTTCGAGGATTTTGTTTTATAATTACAATATGAAGAATATGTAGCCAATATACTATGCATTTTCAAGTTAAAATGTAGCATATTCCTGACTGTAATCTATCTTGCGGTATGAATTTCATCAGGTTACATGACAACCAGTTAGAAAAAGGAGCAATGCATTTGATCTGGCACATCGGAATCAAAGGCTACTCTTTAGCCGATATGCTAACCCAAGTATAGGCAAGCTGTTCTTGTTACTTTACAACTAATGTAAATCATGTTCATTATGGTGTACTAACTTATAATTATAATTTTAAATTGAAATAGACCAAAGATAATATAAAATTATTGACATGGACTTCTGAATATATAGCGTGTTATTTTTTTAGGATAGTAAAAACATCATTATCGATGTTTTTTAAAGAGAAAGCGAAGGATATGTTGAGACGAAGAAAACCTGAAATGACTAACCTCGAACTCGTGCAGGAATGCACCGACTCCATCATAACCTTTTTGCTTTTTCTCATGGGGAAGCTTCGCTGCCGGTGGTAGGTAAGGTATAGGGTCCCTCGCAGCGAATAATGCGAGCAAATTAGGTGGTAAAAACTGCGTCATTATGCACAATTTACCATGCCGTTTTATAACTACTAAAACTACATGAAACACGAAGTTTCATAATCACTATATAATATATATTACTAATATTTAAACACTCTTCACTAATTATGGCTTAATTTTCGTAAAATATACACAATCTTTTTGTATTGTATACGTAACAAATCACTTATTTGAAGCGTTGTCCGCCATTTTGCAAGATGGAAAATATTTTTTTTAATTGAATGAGTCTTTGCGGGTGGCAACACTGATATCCTAGCAACATGGTTTTATGGAAGAATCGATTTTGTGATGAAAATTATAAAACAAATTCGTATTTTAAGAATTAATGAGATAACGGTTTATCAAAAGTAGAAGTAATTGTTTGTAGTAATTTACTAATTGAATGTAAATGCATTTAATAAATTTGATAAAGTGACATCTATCGTCCAACCACTAAAATCTGTAACGTTTTTACTATTTTGAATGGAGAGATGGCTTAAAACGTTTTTTTTTAAATTTCTTTATTTAAATACTAGGTGTTCGTGAACATGTTCATCTGAGTAAATTTTTTAAATTATAAAATAAATAACGATGTAGGACACAAGCGAAATTTATAGTTTATAAAAGTAACATAATTTAAAAAAGTACTTATGTTAAACGCTGAAAGGGGGGTATTTTCTCACATTTCTACATAACATGAAAATATGACTTTAGAGTCAAATCTTTTGAGATATATTTGGTCGCTGTCTCTATTGAACTTTTTGTTTCTTTTATTTGGGTTTATTTCAAAACCATTCGCTTTAAATGAGACGTTCCAAAGCTTGAGGCAATCCATGCATTTTAGATTGACATACATTTTGAAATACATATAGATGTGATGGTCAAAATAGAAATAGAATATCGCCATATTTGTTTATTCTAAGATAAATCATCTCTTGAATCCAAGACAAAATTTTGGTGTACAAACTATAATAATTTTCGTTTTGTTACTTTATTTTAAACTACCTGTCTCCCGCGACTCCGTCCGCGTGGAATTAAAGACAAACTTAATAAGTAGCCTTTGTGTTCTTTCAGACTATCTTCTGTATTGCCAAATTTCATCAAGATCCGTTCAGCCTTTCTGGAGATACCTACTAACAAAGATCTATCCATCCACCCATTTAAACATTCACATCTATGTATAATATAAGTAAGAAGTAAGATTGTTGTTCTTAGTGAATTTTTCACGGCAGCAGTACATAACTCCCTACATTTTGACATTTGACGTGTCTATGGCTCCCGCGAGGTTTGTGTCGTTTCCGCGCCATGTTACCGACACCTTACCCATAATGATGTGACACTTGTATACTAACATATAGCTATTTCTATTTATTTCAAAGAGAATGAGAGGGATAGAAATACTGTCGTGCCCACAACAAGTGCGATGTTATAAATTATTTATGCGCACTCAAACATTTTTGTTTATTCTATTTTGACTTTCATGTTTTAATATTCATCGGTTTAGCTGGGACAGGTGAAGGTTAACATTTGTAGATTATATTACTAATACTAGCTTTCGCCCCGACTCCGTCAGTGCGGGATAAAAAAAAATAGTAGCCCATTTGTTCTTCCAGACTACGTTCTATATGTATGACAAATTTCATCAAGATCCATACAAACGTTCTGAAGATATCTTCTAACAAACACACATCTAAACATTCGCATTTATAATATTAGTAAGATAAGAAGTTAAAATTATGTATATAAATACGAAATTTGGAATAGAAGGATGGGTGGGTGTGTCCAGGATCTGGATGAATTTGGTATAGATGAACTCTGGAAGAAATCGTAGGATACTTATAAGTTTTTTTAAATCTCACGTGTACGGAGTTGCGTTGAGTTTAGTTGGAGTTGTTAATTAGAAAAGTTCAATTAGTTTGTTTTAATTTTCGAATCACCGTAACAAAATACACATACAAAATAATGTTTTTACATTTGTGACTCAAATTTTTACTTTAATTTATTAGTTTTTATTTCTATACTGCTGAAAATACTAAAATTCTTTTGTAATAAAGCACAGTTTTCCCGCGTAAACCGGCTTGAAAGCACGGCAGTACGCTTCCCGGTAACCGACGCGTTACACGCGCTTTTTGTAATCTGTCAAAGTCAGAATACGCGGAAAACTTTTTAATTTTACTTTTTTGACCAAGGAGTATCAATATAAAAGCGTTTTTTTTTAATACAAAGTGTTTTTTTTTAATACAAAGTTAAGGTATTGATTATTAAAAATTGATAAATAATTATTTTCATAAATAAGGAGTAGTTGAATATATAAAAAAATTAAAGGAGACTTTGTCAACTTAAATGGACACTGACCTGGACAATTAGACGAGGATGACAATATTGTGTATTTGGTCAACAGTATACGACCCACAATGTTTAAAATATTTTAGTAATTAAAAGCTTAATAATTATATTACTATATGAAAAAAATGAGTCTTAAACTTATGATGTTAAATAAAATATTATAAAGGAATAATTAACTAAAATATATTATTAAAAGGAGTCCCTTTAGGCAAGGTTCCGAAGATACTGGCAGCGTATGTTTAAAGCTTAATTAATATACAGCGTGATGTCTAGCAAGAAGAGTGAAGATATTCAAAAGACTCAAATGGACCAGGTCAGTGAAGTTATAGACAGTTTAAACTCAGCTTTGATTTGATGAGGTGAGAGATATGTAAGACAAAGTTATCAGACATGACAAAGCGCATTCGCTTTGAAGCGATTCCATAACGAATTTAAAATATATAGAACTGACAATAACTTTGGATAAGTAACGTGATTGTCGCGACACAGTTCTGTGCATTTTTGAAATTTTTTATGGAATCGAATGCACTTTGTCTAACCTCAGCCAGGTGGATATAATTAAAAGTAAAATCAACTTACTAGCGCCTTGTCAACATCAAACTGCCATCATCCTTGTCTCACTGGATGTGTCATGTCATAGCATGTGTGTCATTTTCTATCCTTGTATATTTTGTGACAAAAGTAACCGGGTTTTTAAACTCCGCACTTCGTCTGCACGGACGTAACAAAACGTTATAAGTAGCCTATGTGTTCCACAATATTCTATCTGTATGCCAAATTTCATCGAGATCTCTTGAGCCGTTCTGAAGATACCCTCTAACAAACAGTGGTAGAGCTTTAACATCTTCGCA